ATCGTCAAAAACTACAACTCCATTTTAGTTGTAATGGACTGCAGTGAGCACGAGGCGTCGTTGCTTCTAGAATCTATTTACACCGTCAATATTAAGCCTGTGCAATTTCATTGGCTGTTTCTGCGAGTGGAGGAACAGAGCACTGAGAAAGTGGAATACCTTCCTATAAATATGTTTGGCTTACGTTCAAAATTTGATAGAAGGTACTGGGTGCAAGATGCACTGCTCCTTCTCAATTGCTCGCTTTACCCAAATAACTATCAGAATAAATCTGGCAATCCTGGATCCGTCAGCCCAAAAGTTACCGACCAGTTTGAACTATTCAGGTGAGTGCAACTTAAAAGAAGCTAAACGGAAGGGCGAATGATGCCAGCATGATGCTGGCTGAACGATGAAATATTTGCTTGTGAAGCAAAAAGGTAGATTAAAAGTAAACATTTAACGTATGCAAGTTTGAGAGAAGCGGCTAAGCATTTACTCATATTCGTCCAGTATGATATTTAGCCGGAGTTGCAAACCTTATCTAAAATTCAAAAACTGTCAAGCTATTATCAGGCACAAAGTATACGTATTAGTGGTTTAATGAACGATCTTCCCAAGTATCTCGTATGTTACTCAGGAGTTTTGGGAAGGACGAACAGGAACCGAAATTAAACGATATAAGCAAACTTTGCGAAACAGGGTAGGTAATTTATAGATTCACCACAAAGACAGGTGGGATCTAAAAGAAAGACCTGAAAGGAATACGTTTCCTTGGGTGGGGTGGGGGGGGATTCAGTTTCTTGGCATAATACACTCTTGCTATAAGCAACTAGTGTAATTGTTCTTATTGTGAATAACTTTGCATGCAAGAAAATGATGAAATGGATAAAGAATAGCTTACGTAAATTAGTATTTGATTTTCGCCTATTATTTACTTGACAACGCTCTTTTGCCTGAAATATCATGATACCCTTGTACTTGACAAATTTAAAGCTTATGAGCCACCTATGAGAAAAGAATGAAACGAAATCACGTGGTGCCCGGGGTAACCAATACTCTAACGGATAACTCGAAAAACCGACCCCTTTTCTGCTTTAGCTGAAAATGTCAATCTAAGAAGAAATTAGGTTCCGGGGAACTTTAAGTAAAGAACAGTTTAAGGTTACTAGAAAGTGAATTTTGAGAACTGGGATTTCCACACAGAGAAGAAAACCGATGCAAAGGTTCGATAACTTAGTCTAACATTTGGGCCCAAAGAAAAGAAATGGGAGTGGAAAAAAAAAGAATATAATGAAACGAGCTATGATTCCATTCCTTATTTGACCTAAAGCCACTAGGTTGGTATATTCATACTGCGTTTGTCTCAAAAATCTGTTGTTCTTTGACACTCCAGAAATATGCTGGATCAGGCGTTCTTGGGAAAAACAGGATGGATCCAGTTCGACGAGGAAGGGAACCGAGTGGCTGCTAGTTATGATATCATCAACAAATTCCAAGGCAACTCATCAAGCTCAGGGGAAGTGGCATGGGTCACCGTGGGCTCTGCATCAGGCCATCGAGTCAGTTTTCAAAGGTCATTATGGATGGCCAATGTTCGTGATCAAAAGGAAGTACTTCGAGTGGTGGTCGTTGAAGAAGAACCAATGTTGATGATAAGTAAGGAAGATGTGTCTACATTTGGCGAGTGTGTTTTGAGTTACCCCTGCACAAAATACAAGCAATACGATAACAACTCCGAGCAGAATGAACCAATCAAGTGCTGTTGTATTGGCTATCTCATAGATCTCCTGAAATGGCTTGAAAAAGACTTACCTGTTTTGGTGGAGATGTATTTGGTCAGGGACGGAGTGTTTGGGAATTACAATGCTACATCCAAGCAATGGGATGGGATGATTGGCGATTTGCTTTCTAACAAAGCTGACATGGCTCTTTCAACGTTGACAATAACGAGCATAAGGGCGAAGTATGTGGACTTTTCTTATCCATTTCTTCACGGGGAAACAAAGCTTCTCACATCTGTCACTCCAGTAAGTGTGAGTTTGCATTTCGGGTTCCTCGCACCGTTTGACAAAGTCTTGTGGATTGTCGTTTTAGTTACCGTCAATGGCATATTTGCAACAGTATGGCTCTTGGAAAGACTGGGTCGGAAACGAATAATCTTTGCAAAAAAGGAAACAAGATTCAGCTTGGCAACATGCATGTCTTACATTTGGAGTAACGTGGTGAAACTTGAGTTGGAAGGCAATAAGCCTCAGAGCATTAGTGCAAGATTTACCACAGCTGTGTTTTCCTTCTCGACATTGATAATAATTACAACATATACAGCTCAATTAGCGGCAACCCTTGTACAGCTGGATGGAGAATCCCCTGTCACAGGGATTAACGATCCTAAGGTAAATGAGACTAAAGTACTGAATGCAGCTCATGGTGAATGTTTTTACACATTTGAAATGAAATGAATTCCTGGCTTCAAGCCATGTAAGGATAAGTTAAAAAATACGATGAGATAAGACTTTGTGAGATTTTGTTAACTTGTGTTTTCCTTAGCTAACGTAGCAACCATCATGGAGCCCCGGACTTCAATATTGAGAAAAACAATTTTGGGAAGCTCAAGCGTTAGACAAGTTAGATTAGGTTGTAGATAATGATATTTTCAGTACCTTTAGAAAAGTGCTGCAACTTTTTCCACATGTTTTGCAGTTTCAGGATCCTCCACCAGGCTTCACATTTACCACTGTTCGTGGTAGTACACTATCGTTGTTTACAATTAGTGATGACCCTGCATACAAAAAAATAGGAAGAAACATGATTCCCCACGCTGTGAAGAACTACAACGAGGGCCTCGAGAAACTAAAGAAAGGGTGAGTATTAATCCTCTCAGATTTCTGATTTATGATGGACGCATTTCTTAGATGTGGTTGTGAATCCAGCTCTAGCAATAAGAATAAATGGGTCCTATAACATAACTAAAGTAAAGTGTGCGCTCTAATTGGTGAATTCAACGTCCAGCATTTGCCCATGGGTGTTCGCTGCTGACGTGAGTAAACGTAAAGACTACTTTTCCGTGCGCGCTTGTTTTTTCTGGTCACGTAAGATTTGTAAATAAAAGAAAACTCTTTTGCTACAATATGTCAATGTTATGTTAGTCCGAGATCGAAAAAACGCAAACCATCTCACCGCGATGGTTCAAAAAAATTGTTGCTGTGTCGCTTTGCCAGTTTTTGAATGTACATTTTCGCGCGTTGATTGTGCTTTTGCCTTCATGTAAATAGAACGAATTTCAATAAATATTTACACACGAAACGAAAGATGTTTGAAAGAGTCAATGTTATGAAAGAAAGGGTTAGCTAGAGTCGCACTCGGCTATCTCCTCGTGCGACTCTTACGCTTCTTGAGCCGCTTAGCAACCTCCTACGTGCATCCATAACTCGATGGTTGCACGCTGCACGCTAACCATTTCTTAAGTAAAGCGACCTGATAAAGCTAATGGTAAAAACGTTTGGATACCAAGAACCCTTATATCTTTCCTGTTGCCTTGCTACAGAATAGTGACGTTCCTTATACCAGGATTAACCTAGTATAGGATGTGCTGCGTTTTTACGAATCTGAATGGAGGACTGCAGAAAGGCAATTTAATGGTCAATTCTGTGGATTTTCCCATGTAAAGCAGTTTATCGTGGTTTCCCAAGAACTGAATCATTTATGAGTCCTACTGCCCAGTTAGAAAATTTATTCTACGGTGTATAGTTTTTCATACATCTACGAGACATTTTTCCTATGCCAGTACTGTTACTTCTGGATAACTCATATTAATCTCTTTTAGTCAATCCAAATAGTACACTGCTGTTATAATTCCTTTATGCACGGGTTTTCTTTTATCACGAGTTTTCTATCTAGCCTCCTCTCTGGGTGTGAGGGCAGTCCCGAGAAGGACTGTTGCCAGTTGTGATGAATGACGTTTTGTGAACCTTAGCGAAAGTCTCGCCTCTGATGCAGACTTCCGCTTAGGTTTATCACCGCTAGCGACAACATTCCTTCCTGGGACTTCGGTTTCACCCGCACAATCAGATCGATCACTAGATTTGTTACGATAATTTATTTTCTTATCTTTCTGAGTCAACAATGAAACACAAAATGATCTTATCTTCCAGTTTGATCACGGTTCTCACAGATTTTCTCTTTTTCCATTCAAGGGAAATTAAAGCCTTCATATACGATTCACCATTCATTGACCTTGGAGCTTCCAAGATGCCCGGATGTTCGTTCAAAGTAGTAGGGAAACCAATATTCAATGCACCATACGGCCTAGCATTTCCAAGAAACTCGAAGTGGAGGGATCCGGTATCAAATCTGCTGCTCAAATACCAAAGAAAAGACTACTTTTGGAAACTGAAAGGAAAATGGTTTAGAGGAGGCTGTTTTTTTACCAGTCGAACATCTAAAAACGCTGAAGAGATGAGGCCCGTAAATTTTGGTGGCCTTTTCTTAGTATTAGGAGGAACGATAGTTGTATGCTTTTTTATTTTACTCGGAGAGTATCTGTGGTCGCGCCATGAACAAAAAGCGGGGAAATATACCCCCTCACAAAATCGAACAAAGCAGTAGGTCTTCACCGACTCTTTCCCCCCTACCTACCGAGCAAAGAAAGTGGCAACGGTGAAGTGGAAATTTTGGCACGCGTATTCAATCTGAGACAATTCCTCCATTCTTGGTATTGTAGCGTACTAAATTTAATTGAAAAAATTTTACTCATGCTTAGGAGGCATTGTGCTGAGGAAAATGGAGGTCCAAAATTTTCACTCTGAAATCGAGATCTTAATCGCAATATAATTTCCGTCTTGACTTGACTGATGCTATGTCATGGAAATTGCTGTCATAAACACTGAATTTGTGATTCAGTGACATATATTTAACAATTACACACTCAAGATTTAAGAGCCTTACATTTAGAGGGGATCAAATGTTATGAGGTGCAATCAAATGGCATGGGGGTATGATAAAGTGGCATTGCTGAATGAGCCAATAGCATACGGTTACGGTTGAATAGCTTAAAGGTACCACATACTGGCATAATGGTATGACAAGTTATTTCGACCTCAAACGATCTTTTTTGTGGACATGTCATCGTTAACAAGACTGCCCTTGACTGTGTGAAAAAACAAGAGGGCGCCCTTCAAATCAAGCAGAGAAACAGCTGGTGGTTTCAGCTGGTCAAAATATGTTCCCAGAAATTCTTGCAGAGCCACTTCATGTGAGACATTCCCTTCAACATTCATGTGGAAATTGCAGACGAAAGTGGAGTAAAAATTAGTTTTCATCGGTTGCTACCTTCCACGAGGTATCTTTTAGACATCTCACTGGAAAAGGATAGAATTTGACAGCAAAACCTACGAGCAGAATACGTGCACATGCAACACAGCGGGGTCCAAGAACGGAGATGATATGTCTGACGAAATTTAGATTTGTAATACAGAAATAAATAAGTCAGTGATGTCTGAAATGTGTTGTTAACTCTGTAGTGCCGTCCTCTTTGCATTACAACAAAGCAAGGAAGAAGAAGAATCGTCCCAATCCTCCATCGGCTACATCAGTTTGCGTTGGTTTTGTCTAAACCAATCATATCGCAGAATTGGCTGAAGGTAATATCTTGTGTGACATGGTTCCAACAACATAATCAACGATAATTTGTACGTTTTGCTGTTCCGGCATGGTGTTCTCTTTGGCATTCTTTCCGCTTTAAATCACATCCAAGTCGAAGGAAACAGAGCTTTTTGATTATGAGTTGGTCACTTCTCGTGATGATTTCAAGACTTCTCGATTTGTCCACTGTCTTCTTTAACGCACGATTGTTCCTGATCTGTGTCAAAGACAAAGCAAAGTACAAGTTCCTACGGAAAGGAAAAGCCTTAGTCATTTGCCAATGTGCCTGCCAAGGTACACTTCTTCTCATGGATGTTATGCAGTGGTGAAACGGATTCTCGGCTCAATCCAAAGAGCCCTGTGATTTTTTCAGGATTCTATTCGTTTCTATAATGTTCTTCCAAACTTTTAACCTAACGGCTATTATCATAGTCTCAAGCGCTCCTGAAGATCCAGCGACAGAAACCAACCAAGAATTGTTGATTAACTTGCGAGTGTCTGCAGCACTGACGCTGGGATTGTTTGGGCCTGCCATGCTCTGGTGGCATAGTTGTTTTTATGGGGGATATCGCTCTCACCTGGCCCTCGTAGTAACTTTCTTTGTGAGTGTCACCTTTATCATTTCAGAAATAGCTATGGTTCTGATAAGAGACGAAGGAGGAGGGCATCTCACCTACAACACCTCAAAAAGGGCAAGCGTTCTCAACATGTGCAACAACAATGAATGGCCTTTCCTATCTACAGCGCTAGCCTTCATGTTATTGTGTTTGGTATCGATCTTAAGTGGCACTATTTCTAAATATAGAGCCTTTTCATGTCGCCACCCTTTAGATGATGGAGCGCTGTGCCCGGAGGTTATTTTATCATTGATAACCAAGTTTACAGTCGGAATCTATCTACCTATGAAACTTTACGATTTTATTAATTTGAGCTTTGAAGGTAACCTAGAAACAACTGCATCTTTGATTGCTATTTGATAGAAAGTCTATCGACTTTGAGACCGGAACGAAATCCAATACGGGGCTGTAAACAAATAATTTATTTCCATATTGATATATCAAACTGAATATTTACTTAGTGAAAAGCACGCAAAAGCTCTGCCGAAAAAAAAGGACACAGATAGTGTTGGTGCTTTGGCTACTTAGTTACAGCGGGAATGTTATGAGGGTTCACAATACCAAGTTATTTTCTTTCATGATTGCTAAGGGAATTAAGGTATCAAATTGTTGGCTGTTAGTAAAATATTGAAGAATGAATCTCCGTTAATAGGCTTCAAGTATTCGCGACAGGAGTTTGAAATTCGGTTTTCCTGTGTTTTTTTTTCTTTCTTAATATTTATTAGAACATATTACAGGAGCTTTTGAAATCATGAGTAAGTTTGCGTATGATGCACGATCCTCGCAGTAGAGAGCGCTAGTTATGGAATATCGAAACTGATTTTCGCTATTCCATAACTAGCGCTCTCTACTGCGAGGATCGTGCATCATACGTATCTAATACCGCAGTTCAAAATATATGAACTTCATATATTCATTGTATATGAGTAAGTTTGTCACTAAATGCTAATGAGAAGAACAATTGAGAACTGTTTTTATTCAATAGACCAGTGCTACAAAGGGTAATGATTTCCTTCGAGTGGTGGTAACTGTAAATTCAGAGTCATGCTAGTAAATTCGAAAGCACTACACGGATGCTTGCACATCCATGGCCTCTTGGCCACACAGAATTTCTTGTATTGTTCTTGGCTCGTTCCTGGCTATAAAAAAGCCATTTGTTTTGAACAGCCCAGTACATTCCAACGAGAGTCTGATATTCTCGCGAGTCGTAACCGGTTTGGACACGCACGAGTGATTCAAGTGATCACAACTGCTCTGATTGTCACTTTAATGACTAACTCATTGACATACAGCCAACGAGTTACATTCTTTATTTATACTAACCATTTTAATAAGAAAGTTCAGGCTGGGATGAAGAAATTTTTTTAGGACATACTAGGAACATACCCTGACTGAGAGTCAGTCAAGAACGTCTTTAGTTTGCTCTTTTTTCGTGAGAAGTTTCAATAAGGGTAAAAGAAGATAAATGTAAAACTGTGGTCTGACAGGACAACTAACTCCAATGCATAAGGGCCTTTTATACATCACACTTTCGGTCGAACTTAGTCTGGTCACGTCCGAACTGATTTAGCAAAATACTGTACCTCACAACTTCAAGAACATGTTTCACGAAAGAACGTTTCTACGCTCAAATTGCAAAAAAAAAAAAAAAAAAAAAAAAAAAAAAACGTTCAGACTCATCCCATAAATTAGACACTCCTATAAAAAAAGATTATAAAAAAGAGGCAGACTGATGAACAAGTTAAGGCGGGTATTTGAACGTAACGAGGGTACTTCTTTGTGGGGTTAGAATTGTTTTAGAGCATACAGTTTTGGGGACTACAAAGGGTCAATCAGTAGAACACTGAATACCTACGTCGAGGGAGGGTTACTAGGTTACGTCAAGACTATTTGAAAATTGTCTAATCGACAACATCTTTCAGTTGTTTGATTTTACGCACACTATCGAAATTTAGCCATCTAATTTTTAATACAGGAGAACTCAAGGGCTACTAGGATTTAGGTGTTGACCAAGATTGAATGGGATTGGTCTACATTTTGATGATGACACCCATAGCGGGCGATTTAGCATTTAAAAAGCTCATAATCGTCGGTTCTGACCAAGGAGACTGAGGAAATGAAAACTTTTCTCGTTACAAGGTAGTCTATGTAGTCCCACAGCGAGCGATATAATATCACTGCATTTCGGCCTTTCCCCCCACCTCTCTCGAAGGCAACAGGGGATTGTCAAACATTTTAAGAGGTGTGAAAACCTGTTAGTACAATCAGTTCAACACAGATTGTGCCTTGCGGTAATTTGAGCCCGCTGTCAATCCATGGATTAGAGACCAGGCTGAGAAGAGACCCCGACTAATGGTCAATTCTGTCAAAGTGATACATATATCTTATTAACCAAGCGCGAGGGCCGTACTGGGAGAATAATATCGGCCCGAGGTCTTGACAGTACGGACCGAGCGCAGCGAGGTCCGTACAAAAAAGACCGAGGGCCGATATCTTTCCAGTACGGTCCCGAGCAAGCTTGGTTAATTAAAGATTTATTAACAAAGTTGAAATGGTAAATTGGCCACCGTAACGATTACAAAAGCTGACGTTTCGAGCGTTAGCCCTTCGTCGGAGCGAATAGAGGAATGGTGGGTTGTGTGTGCTTTTGAAGGCAGAAAATGGAGCTACGTTATTGGTGGGAACATGGCAACGAGAAAAATAAGAATAAATTAGTCTCGGCTTGCAGTTGCCCTACCGAACTTATCTCCAGCTATCTAGACAAAATTATGGCTCCCATCGTCAAAACTTTACCATCACATATTAAAGACAGCCAACAAGCTCTTCAAATTTTTCGAGACTTTAATTTCCCTGGCCAAAACAAACTTCTTTTCACCACGGATATTACGTCCCTTTACACTGTAACTCCTAATGGCGAAGGCCTTCTGGCCCTTAAACATTTTTTGATCAACGTACTGATAAGGAACCTAAATCTGAAACACTACTACGCTTAGCCGAGCTAGTGCTCACACTCAATTAATTGTTTTTCATTCGGAAACAACTTCTTCAAACAAACCAATGGTGTAGCCATGGGAACCAAAATGGGACCTAGCTATGCCAATCGTTTTGTAGGTTTTGTCGAACATCAATTTTTCAGCCAACACAACGGGTCCAAACCTGAACTCTACGGTCGCTACATCGACGACTGTATCGGCGCTACCTCCTCTACCAGAGAGGAGCTCACTCAATTCATAACCGCAGTCAATTATTTTCACCCGGCTCTGAAATATACCTGGGAAATTTCTGACAATTATTTATCCTTTTTAGACATCGAAGTTTCAATTGAAGGTAACGGTTTATACACTAGTG